GGGGTGGGGGGGGGGGGTGCGTGAGGGCGGCGGCGATGACGGCGGCGGCAAAGGCGGCGACGGCGAAGGCGGCGGGGTGTGGTGCGACAAGAGGCGCGCGTGTGACGGTGCATGGCGGCCGGCGACGGCGGGCTGCGGGGAGTGAGCGGGTGGTGTGGGGCGGTGCTGGTGGACGCGGCAGCAAGCGGCAGGGCAAGGCGAGAGGTGAGAGGGTGGCGCGGCACCTTTTGAGGCCATCGTCGCTCGCCTCTCGTACGATGAGCACCAGCGGCCTCCGCGGCCACAGCGTCCTGAGTCGGGGAGCGTGTGGGGTGTGGGGCATGTCAAATCATCCATGTCATGGGCGCCGTCTCGAGGCAGATAGAGGTGGCGGTGTGCGGCTGGAGGGCGCTGCCGCGGGGGGGTGGATATCACACAGCATGTGAGGGCGTCGCGGCTCACGGGCGGCGGCGCGGAATTGGTTCTTGTGGACGGGGGGCGGCCGCGGCGGGCAAGAGGGAGACGGGAGAGGGCGGAAGGGGGAAGGGCAGGATCGAGCGGGGTAGGGGAGGCGGGCCTTCGTCGTACTCCTTGCTGAATCGTCGAGCGGGCCAAGCAGCTCTGGAGCGCGCCGCCGGTTCTTGGCGACCACGAGGTTTGGTTGTGCGCCGCGCGCGCGGGGGCCGCGCCAAGCCCAGTATAGCGTCGAAGGTGACGAGAAGCCGAAGATGAGGTGGGGAGAAGGGCTGGGAAGGGGGGGTCGCGGTGTCCATGGCAGATCTACTGGGTAGATCTATACGAAGGTGCGATGCGCCCTCATTGCGGTCGATGTACCTGCAGGAGAGTGTGGTGGAGGCGTCAAAGCCGCGAACGAGGGTCCGGCGGCGAGGGGCGAGGCGAGAGATCGGGCGGAAGGCGAGATGTGCAATGCGAGGCACTCGGGCCCCACAGTCGGGCGCGGTCGTGTGTGGCGGGCGTGGCTCGCGGCGGGCAGGAGCAGGAGCATCAAGAGGTGATGCTGACGCCGAGTGAGCGAGTGCCGTGCGCGACTTGTGCCGAGGCGAGATGGCGAGATATGTGGGGCGAGGCCCGCGGCCGAGTGGCACGCTTCGCCCGGTGGGAGTGAGAGAGCCCCAACTCCCCGCCAAGCGGCGAGAGAGGGCGAGAGCTTGGCAGCGCCATGGCACACCTTTGTTGATTGCTGGGTTGCCTTTTGGGGGGCTGTGATCCGCGGCCTTTTGGCCCCACCTCACTTTCCAAGACATTACCTGTATCTTCGCGCACGAGTTGCAAACACAAACAAAACCAACAAACAAAACTACT